ATCCGAGCCAGGGCTGTGTCAGCAGGTGGGGCCGACCTCCTCACCCTGCTCACCCGCAGCCTGCCTGCCCCGAGCACCTTCCCATGCCCTTTCCCATGGGCACGGCCAGCTGCGGCCTGCCAGCCGCTCCGACGGGCCCCCGGCTACGCAGAGGGCACGGCTGCAAGCCAAGCACTAATTAGCTCCGTGTTTAATTTACCTCTGCACTTGCACTGCAGTGGACCTAAGCACGCTCCCTGCAGTTCTGGAGGGGCAGAAGAAGGCCTGCTTCAAGTGACCCCAGCTCCTGGGACCAGCCCACGAGCCTGCCGTGCAGTTCTCCAAGACCAAACCACCAAAGTTCCCTTCTATTTATGGCCAAGTCTCCCTGACCACTTTCCCTGTGTAAAATGCCAATACAAAAATAATTGAGCTTTGGTCATCCTGCCTGGTATTTCTCAAGTACTGTCACTGCTCTCACTGTGGTGAGCTGAGGCTAAAAGCTTTTGGAAAATCCCACCCCGTATCTTGAAAAGTCAGGAAAGAAACTCCATAAATGAAAAACCCAGGAACAGAAAGAGAACTCTTGGCACAGCCCTGACTGTGCTGCATCTGCTCTGCTAAGTAGGTTCATTTATTTCCATCCTGTAGCTCTCTCCTGCTATTTATAACACCTGCCTTAATGAACTTTCAAGGTAGACACCGAGCCTGAGCGCTCCTAAATAGATGTCTGAATATCCTTGTTGAATTAATTTGATCTTTTTATGAATGGACCGTTCCAGACAGACTGGCACTCCTCAGTGGAAATCACAGAATGGTTTGGGTTGGAAGGAACCTTAAAGATCTGCTCATTCCAACCCCCTGCCACAGGCAGGGACACCTTCCACTAGACCAGGTTGCTCCAAGCCCCGTCCAACCTGGCCCTGAACACTTTCAGGAATGAGGTATCCACCATTTCTTTGGGCAACCTATCAAATGGGATATTGTCCACAAAAACTCATTTTTTTGTTGGCAACCCAAGTTGGGAAGCAGTACCAGAAATTTACCTGCCTCCAATGCAAATCTCATCCATCCAGCCAAAACCTCACCTTCACTAGGAGAGATGTACTCCATGTGGAATGGCAGCACAAGCCTCAAACAGCACCTTAATGAAACAATTCCTCTGCAAACATGAGAAATGCTCCTCCAAATTCACACCTGAGGGCTCAAGAGAGGGTTTTTACTAAAACCCTCCAGAAGAGGAATTCTCTGAACCAACTGGAAACCTTTACAAACCTTTGATACGACGTACCATCCCTCCCTTCTCTCTTTATAGAGGTCCTCTTACCCTTGCTTTTAGGTATTCCAAAATTTAGCTTCTGTAGTTATATTTGTCAACATGGCAACGTTCTGACACCTGACAAAAATCAGGTTTTACCCTCTTCAGGGTGGCAAGCAATTAGAGATTTCTATTCCTTGGCAGTAAGAATTTTTCAGACCCACAAGTGGTTTTAAAAGGTCAGTAAAATATTGCAGCACCTGGGTTTGGGCCAGGGAGGTGAGCCAAAGTGACTCAGAGGGCAACCAGACAATGAGAAAAAACCCCTTCCCAGATCAAGTAGATATACATTTCCTCACGGGAAAATATCTGCACACCTGTACTAAAGAACGAGGAAGAGGGAAAATGGACTCAGAGAAACTTCATCTGCCTTCCTTGTTCCTCCCTTGTCTCATCCCTTGCAAGTAGCAGCAAACTTCGCCATCCTCTTTGTGCTGACACAACCAGCAGCTGACCCGATGAGGCAGAGCCTAAAAAGCATTTCCTCCTCGCTGGCCCTAAATACAAACCAAGGCTAGGCTGGTTAAAGGAGGTGCTTTTAGATGAGAGGTGCTGGGATGTTTCACCTGGAAGAGGGGTTTGTCATTGTCTGCATGAGAACCAGGGTGTGAATGCCAAAGTTCACTGAGAGCAGAGACAGCCCTGCAGGCCTGGAATGTCCTAAAAGGGCTCCGCAGAGGGAACATCGCCTTCCTGCCTCCTCCTCAGTCTGTCAGAGTATCCCTGTCTGGATTTGTGAAGGAGGCATGGTTCCCAAGCAATAATTTCCTTAGCATGAAACATATCTGTACACGTTCCATTTGCTCAACTCTCTCCAGATGGGAGAGCTGAAGGTTATAACCTACCTAGAAACTACCAGACTTTGGCTTGCTCAGCTCAGCTGGACACAGACTAAAAAAAAAAAAAAAAAGGACTGACATTTCCAGACTGCACCAATTCCCAAACACAGCTAGACTGGTTTGGAACTGGAACAAAAGTTTTCTAGGGAAGGTTTGCCCTTCCAGACCTGTTTATTCTCTTGCTGGTACCCATGGGCACGTCCCATCAGGTTCGGTTGCTGTGAGCAGCTTGACCTGGTGAGTCAAACCCAGATTTGGTCCAAGTCTAATTGCAGGGTTTTCATCCAAGAAGCTAAGAAATCATTTTCAGGTAGGACACTGAAGCTTAGGCTTGTGGTCCTTAGGGACAGATTAAGAAATCCAAGTGATGTACCAAATCACAACTGGCTCAAGATTCTACTCAGGAAAAACAAAGGTCTCCACAGACAGGACAATCAAGTCATTCCCTGAACTTCTACAAATTATTTTAACAACTACATTATTAAAAATTTTGCAAATCAAGCTCTATATACTTGTCCTTGTATTAGAAGATAAACTAAATTGCCAGTTCTATACCCAAGCTGAACTGACAGCATCTAGTACTAGCCAAGGTGATAACTGCAAAACTCAGCAAAGAGAAGGAGCTGTATAAATTCAGGATTTCTTAAACTGAGTTGTGTTGGAACAGAACTCTCCATGTTTGGGGTTTCTTATTTCAGGTTCTGATATTCCACACTCTCTCCTGACTGCCTTAAATATATGTAATATAGTTCATTTCAGCTTTCTCCCAACCCCATTAAAGTTGCCGTGCAGTATTTCCCAGCTCTATTAGTTTCTAATGTTCTTTTGACACTGAATTTGAGCCACCTACCCCTCAACCAATGCCTATTATGGGATGAAGATTAAAACCCCAGGGTTCTAACTGAGGTTTCTTGCCAGGATTGCCAGCACTGGACACCAGCCTAAGCTGGTACATGCTGCCTGGAGAGAAATGGACTTCTGTTGGACACACTTGTGTGACACAGCTGGTGGAGAGAGAAGAAAGGCTTCTTAGAAAGCAAAAGAAAGGGTGGGAAACACAAAATTCAGGTCAGCACTGAAGACGAGAGTTTCAGAAGATGAAAAACCCAGGGATATGAGGTAACTTGTAATTCAAGACAGTAATCTGACCTACCCCTCTCCTTTGCAGAGCTCCAAGCTAACTGAGCCAGCTCGTAAAAAGATCTGGCCACCAGCGCGAAACAGCAAGTCCCTGCGAGGACCTGGAAAAGTATCCGGATACCCGAGACGGCAAACAACAGAGAAAAGGGCCCAGGGATGGGGCATGAATGCTACTGCGTGGGACACCTAGAATACTTATGTGATTCCACTCCAAAAACCTGCAGTGCAAAGAGGTCAGGGTGGAAAACTGCAGATGGAAAGTGATGGAAAGACTGCATATTTTTAAATGCAGGTGTAAGAGCAGATAAGAACATTTTACTGCATAGAAACAACAGAGGAGAAAAAACACCACGAATCCCTCCTCAAATGACACAGAAACAATAATGGGCAAGATGAAAGGCAGGACATGAAAACCTGATGGAAGAAATGGGTTCTCAAACATAGGTACACTTGGCCCATGGAAACAATTCCTCTAGGATATGATACATTCAGAAGCAAAAAGGCAATTTCTACAGGCCTGGTCACCCACATGCTGAAGAACAGAGGTGTAAACATAGAAATTAGGTTTAAAACATTTGAGTTCTTGAAGATGTGCAATTGTGTCTTTTGGTGGAATACCAACTCCTGGTTTCTGAGCGCTGACAAAAAACCTTCTCTGGGACAGCCAGGGAACAAGAGCTGGGAAGAGCAAATGGAATCTGTGACGTGCCTTCCTTTCCAGGTGCTGCTCTCTGAAGATGGTAACCAGGCTACAGACATGATTGACCTGCCCCATGTTACTGTCTCTATCTACAGCAACTACCCAGCAACACCAGTGCAAAATGAAAAATCAATGTATTTCTTCAATCCAAGGTCCAGTTGTACGCATCTCTCACACGGGAAGCATTTTTCCACTTATAAATGAAGTTCCAACCACCTGGAATTAGCCTCAATAATCTGAGCTGCATCACATCCTGGGCTGCTCTGCTGTACTCAATGCCATCAGCCTTCCCATCTCCCTCCTGGCTCCTACCAAAGCAGCCATCTCCCAGATTTCAGGACAAGCTTGTGGCCAACAGAGAAAACAGCAAGAGGAATGTGACCCTGTGATTCAATGCAATGTGTCTCTGCACAGTGATGGCACTAACTCAAGGTCTCTGTGCTCTGCTTAACCATTCTGGTGGGAATAGAGGCACAGGGCATCCAAAATGGACCTAGCCTGCCTGCCAATATTTAGATCTTCAATCCCTACAGATACTCAAAGATAGAGCAAAGCTCCATTTGATTCTTCCTTTTGATTTCAAAACCTGAAACTGATTAATTACCAAAGGGAAAAAAGCTGTTAGCACCGCAAGTTAGTGATACATGAGGCCAAAAACACGGGGTGCTGGAATTCCAGCGCGTGTGCACGTCCCAGGGCCAGGGCAGAAGCTGCAATAGATCTACCTAGGCATTGCTCAGTCTTTGCCCTTGCTTGCTATCTCTTTACACACAGCGTCAAATTGCTTTTGAAGCATTTGGCCTGTTCTTCCTGCCTGGCATGTGCTCAAGGGCCAACTCAGGTGATACAGAGGGATGAAATGTCTGCTCTGGCCTGTGCCTTTTCCAAGCCACAGCAGCTGGCCAAGACTACTCCAACCCTGCAACGTGAGACAATTGTTTTTGTGGATCAGGTTCCATCCTCTGTGAACAGATCCCTAGAAAACAGAACATTGTAACGAGTGATGACTGGAACCGGTACTCACTGAGCGGTTTAAGGATGCTGCTGCTTGTCTCGTCAGCGTTTTCTACGTCTGATTTGTCCGAGTAGTTCTCCGAGATTTTCTCCTTTTCTTTCTTTTCTTTGTGCCCAGGTCTTCTTCTGTGCCGCCTCCTCCGCCTGTAGCTCTTCGGCACATGGACCCCGATGTAAATCGTGTGGTGACCTGGGGAGCACAAGCACACAAATATCAACTTCAGCACTCTGCAGTTTGGGCACCACGGCCCAGCATGGCTCATGCTGCATTTCTGTGAATGCCAAAATGGTTTGGGTTGGAAGGGACCTTGAAGCTCACCTCACTCCCAAACCCTGCCGTGGGCAGGGACACCTTCCACTAGCCCAGATTGCTCCAGGCCCCGTCCAACCTGGCCTTGGACACTTCCAGGGATGGGGCAGCCAAACCTACTCTGGGCAACCCATGCTAGGGCTTCCCCACCCTCAGAGGAAAGAATTTCTTCAATATATCTAACCTAAACTTCCCCTCTTTCAGTTTGAACTCATTACTCTTTGTCTTATCCCTGTTTCACTCCAAAAGACAAGTGAACTATCCCTCTCTGCTGGCCTAACATCAATTAGTCCTGCTCTTCTTGTCTCCCAGTGTGAGCTTGGAGCTCTGTAGCTACCATTTAGAGAAGTATTTTCATCCCATCATTTCTGAGAGCACATGCCAGTGCAGACTCGGATAATTGTTGTCCTTGTGACTCGTTTAAACACAAAAATAAACCCCACAGAAGGCCATCACACTCATTTTGTAATATCAAATATTTGAAAGATCGAGTGCTTTTCAAACGCATTCTACGCTAATTTTTCCATTTGTTTTATCAAATACACTGGCTGGACTTAACAACTACCTCATGCCAAGTGATTCAGTTTAATTGAAGAGCTTAGACCAACAAAATCTACATCACTTGACTGTGCAGCCCATTGTATAACAAGTGTCAAAGTACCATTAGGTACCTTACACAGGTAGAGGTAAGAGGTCCCACACTCTGAGTACCATCAGGGTGCTACACAGCAGCCGAGGAAGGACTACTCACAGAAGTTCCTATCAACTCCTACTTGATGATTTCCAAAATAAAAATTAACTAGGAACAGAATAAGTGCCAAATTTCATACTTTGGCTGTAAATCCCAAGGATGCCCTTGCACTGAGACCTGGATTTCAAACTAAAACATTTGCCAATGGTTGCCCAGAATGGCTGAATGGAGAGTTTCAGCTGAACAGACTGAGTAACCAAATTTATCTGAATGAATGACCCACAAACTAAACACGTGTCTCTAATTCCTCCTTGTGACAAATTTCATCTTGATAACCAAACAGCTGAGAACCTAGGCACAAAATACTCCATTTCTGTAACAAACTGATTTGCCAATGCAAAACAACAAAAAAAGCATTTGCCATTTCAAATTCCACACGCCCCTAAAGCCAGCTGTGAGGCCTTTATTTCTCATGTTTGAACCTTTATTTTCCATGTTTGCTCATCCTGTTGTAGCCTCTGCCATGGGCAGGGACACCTTCCACTACACCAGTTTGCTCCAAGCCCCATCCAACCCAGCCTTGGACACTTCCAGGGATGGAAGAAAGAGCATTCTGGAGCTGAGCAGGGCTCAAACTCAGGCAGTGGAACAGTGATAGAACAGGGTCCTGTGTCTGCTGCCTCTTGCCAGAATCTCCACTTCTGGGGAACGGATCACACCACGGAGGGAAAGGGCAGAGCCACAGAGAAATCTGTAGCAAGACCTCCCAGACTGACACCTGAAGATCCGATTTAGCTCTTGCGTGCCAAAGGAAACTCAGAAAGCTCTTCCAGCAACTGGAAACATCAGCTTTACCGTGGCAGATGGCCTGAGAGCCGCACAGGGACAGGGAAGGGGAGATCTTATCTGAGCAGGAGCTGGGGGTGACCCCTGACAGACAGGGCAGTGGTAGCCCTTCCCAAGGGATTCTCACACCCAAAACTCTGTCCAAAAGCCTGACGTGAAAGGTATCTGTATTAAACTACACTCCCCTTTGAATCACTTCAATTCTGCGGTCAGCTTGATAATAGAAACACATCACAGTGAGCCTGTAGTCTTAATACTTTAATATGCTGCCAACAGAACTGGACAATCTCTTTAATCTTTGGACCACGTGTGCACAGCACAGATTTTGGTAATATGAAACTCACTTGTATATACGCAGGCAAACATCTGCATTGCTTTGCTGCTTTTCCCTAGTCTGAAGGCAGAGACTTATTTAATGTTCCTTGCTGTCCTCCCCCACCCCTCAGACTGTTCAGGGAGGCCAAGCAAGACATTTTCCTTCTCCATGTACTTCAAGTGCTTGGCATCTGTTTACATTGCTCCAAATGCTGAGATAATCTTCTAGGCTCCCTTCCCAAAGCGCCTGGAAGGAAACAATTGACACATACTCTCAATGCACCGGGCTCCTGGGACATTTCCGACTCACCGGGGGAAGCCAGCCTTTCCCATGAGAACGGCTGCCTGAGAAACGTGACACACAGGCTCCACAAGGATCCTACTGCTCCGGGAGGATGGGAAGCACGGAGCTGAGCGCTGAGCTTGGGCTAACCCAGACCTCGCTCCTCCCGAGGGGCTGCTCCCGTGGCCCTCCCTGCTCTCCCCAGGATATCCACTATGCTCTGTGAGCACCTCATTTCACAGCACTCAAACCCCAGCCGTGGGATGCACGTGCAGACCCACAGGCTCCGGTGGCACCCGGTCTCTTGTCAGCCACAGTGGGTAGGGGCTTCTTTGGACTTACACCGACTGGAACTGGAATCTTTGACTTCTGTGACCAAAGAGCATGTTTAATGTGCCCCAAGTTGACAACAAAATCATTTCATCTGGGGGGTTCTCCTGGAAAAACTCTGTTGAAACCACATCTTTTGCTTTACTAAGAGCTACTGAGGAACAGCAGTTCATGTTTCAGCACCAGATTTGGAGTTTGAGCATAGGAGACTCCCTGAATAAGTTTTACTGACAAAAACCCACTTGTGTATCAGCCAGCTGAGGTTCTGTGAAACGCAGCATTCCCTCCCTGCCTGCAGGAATATCTGCTCATTCTCATCAAGTCTACATTGGACAGGGCTTGGAGCAAGCCCTTTGGACCCATTGGAAGGTGTCCCTACCCAAGGCAGAGGGGTGGAATGAGATATCCTTAAGGTCCCTTCCAACCACAACCATTCTGAGAGATCACTTCATTATGATCCTCTCCATTTTTAAGCACTAGCTCTTTTTAAAAAGGTTAACAGGGAATGGCTTTTGCTCAGCAAAACCAAGACTCAGTCACTTGGAGAAAGGGGCTGAAAGTTACGGGATCAAAGGATAGAGACTGCCCACTGCATCTAAAAAGGAATCCTTTCCACATGACTGAATTCTTGAGACTCAAAGCGTGGTAAGACCAGCCCTTAAAGAATCTCACACCGGCACCTTAGAAGAAAACAAGATCAAAATCTAATATTAAAAAGGTATAAAGGACTGAAAATAAGCTGAGCGTTAGCAGTTTTTACCCAGCCCTTGTTTTTCCTTTAAAGAGTCCTTTGCAAAGAACAGGGAGAGTCACATTAAACCCCATCAGATTGCGACAGGCCCCTGTGGTTACAGCTGGCCACAATGCCAAAATCTTCCTCACCAGCTCTGGCCAAATACTTTGGGACACTTAAAAAATGGGCTTTGCTCAGGATGCCCCAGCCATCTCACTCAGAGGCCTATGGCCTTTAAGGTCTCTTCCAACCTAAACCACTCTGTGATTCCATGAAAGGTGGGACCTTCTCAGCCCATTTTCACAGCCCAGCCACCAGTCTTACCCCGGGGCAGAACTGAAAGCCTCAGGTAGCCCCTGCCACCCAGCATCTCGAGAGATCTGCTCTGCAGTCACACCAGCGGGGCAGGGGACACAGCCCACCACGCGCTTGGTCAGCAGAAGATGGCACAGCTTTGTTCCCAAGGAGGTGTCAGCACACAGCCAAGCCCGCAGGGAGAGGTGGCACCAGCCAGGACACTGCCAGGATCACTGCCAGGATCACTGCCAGGATCACTGCCAGGTCAGAGCGCTTTAGAGCAGCTGCTTTTCCCACCTGGGGTTGGTGGCAGAAGGTGCTTCGCATTTTGTCTGAGAACCAAAAAAAAAATTAACAACATAAAAAAAGCCCATGGCTCAGAAGGACAAATAAATCAGGGGGATGATCCATTTTAAAGGGGAGATGCTAAAAGTAGCGCTAAGGAAGTCCCAAACTAAGCCCTGCTTAGTTTCAAATCAGCTCAAGAAGTAAGAACAGAAGGCCACGCCGTCACGTGCCGGGTGCCCTTAGCTCTACCTGGTTCTGGAGGGGTTTGCAGGTGCTGGCAGCAGCAGAGGGGCAGGAGCTGCACCCTGACCAGCTCCACCTTGCAGGCCACAAGCTGTTCTGCACTCCCAGGATGGGATGCACAGGGACACCCCACACCACAGAACTGTTCACACCAGCTGTGTTAGAAATGAGGAACACAAGGACCTAGCGCGGTGCAAAGAGCCAAGTGCTATTCCCATTCATTCACATGGACAGAGACACTGAATCTCCAGGGAAAACTGAACCATCATCAATCCTCTAGACAGGCTGCCCAGACACAGGCTCACCCACCGGTTCCCACAGGGTTTTCAAAACAGGCTGGTATTCAAGTGACCGATTTTCCATGCAAGTAAAAATCCATCAGGCAGGGAAATGGCAGAAGGATTCACCGAGCGCTCCATGGCAATCTGAACAAAACTGAATGCACTAGATGGAGACAGAACAGATCCAAAGACCTTCTCCTACAAACAACTGTAGTATGCAATTAACTGATTCTTGTGGATTCTCCTTGGCAGTTTGCCAAGGAAAAGGGTCAGCATGAATCCATCAGGTGATGGGAACAACAACCATAAGGCTGAGTAGCAGGTTCACAGACTGATAAACGCCAGCAGGAGACGAGCCTGCCATGAGGAAAGGGCAAAACATGAAACAGAGGCTTCAGGAGAGACAATCCTGAGCTACTATGCCATAGAGAAAGGAAAGAAGAAGGAACAAGATTAGAAACATCAGGGATCTCTTTCAGTCTGCCAGCTCCAACAGAAGAACCCCAAATTTACGGCTAAGATTCAAGTGAGCATCACCATCAGCAAGGAAAATGCTCCTTTAACCAAAGGATG